TTTGCTAACAACCCAACTTCAAACTTGCGCCAAAATTCAACCGAAGGTGCGATTATTTTGCAAAAATTGCCCCTCAGAGAAGGCATTTCTGGCCAATCCGCGAGAAACACTGGGATTTTCCCCTTCCAACCGTTTCTGAGAAATAAATTTCCGAACCTGACCAAACCCACTGTGGAACTTTCGCCTCCCACCCCAAATTGAATTTGACGCCAAAATTCAGACATCGCAGCACTGAAGCTGAAAAAAATTGAGCCGAAGGCCCAAAGCCCTCCTGACCTTGGGGCGAAACACTCGAATCTCTAGCTTGAGTGGTTTCTGAGAAACTATTTTTTTGGTGTGAACGCAATTTCAAGCTGGACCAAAAAAATCCAAATGTTTTTTTGTCATGCACCAAAAAAACGCAGCAACATTTCGTCTGGCTCCGAAACAGTGGACTAAAGGACGCGGATCGGCCCTGTCCAGGACAGCGCTCAGAAGTGCTCAGAAGGCCCTGAGCTGGGGGAAAATAATTGTCAAAGTTGCCTGGGGCACACAGACAGGCATGTTTGCGTTGACGCCACTTGCATGTGAAGAAAAAATTGAAAACCGCCATTTTTTGAACTGAGAAATTTCTCACCAACCCCCAAAACACCTCTCGACTCAGACCGAAAATCAGCTAAAGCCCTGCAGGTTGCATTCAAGGAGAAATTAATTGCCCAACTTGCCTTAGCAGAATGACACACTTTAGTGCCTGAGCCTGGATTTGAGGCACAATGACAATTCAGGCGCAGGAAATTCAAAATTTCTCGGCTGCCCCCTAAACCCCACAAACTTCCGGTTAATCAGAGCTGCAAGGCGAATGTGCCTATCTGGTCAGGTTTCTGAGAAATAAATTTTTGAACGTCTGGCAGCCCATAGACACCCGAGCAGCAAAAAACCCGAATTTTAATTTTTTCAGTTTCAATCTGGAAAAATTGGGGTTTGAAGACCCTGTCAGCCTCCATCCAGAGCCGAAACTGGTTTTGCGCTATCCAGTTGGGTTCCCGAGAAATTAATTGCCCAAGCGTCCTGCCCCAATTGAAGGCTTTCGCACCGGGATCCCAGATTCAATGGACCCCAGAAAATCCCCAGGGCCATCGGGACTGCAGCAAAAAATCCTGGGTTCAGCCCTGGAACCTCGCCTATCCAGATCAGGAGCCCGCAGGGCTCTGCCGTGGATGGCTGCTGCGCAAATAATTGCCAAGCGTGTCCGTAACCGAGCAAATTGCGAGACTTTTGACCAACAGCACTCTGCTTAAGTTGCGCCCAAAAATCAAGGCGTTTTGGATCGAATTTCCCCATTTCCCCAAATGTTCACCAGGACTTGGTCTATGCAGGGCCTGAATGGCTGAGGGCTGGTGACGTTTGGTCTTGGAGAGAGAAGTTGCCAAGTCGGGCTCAAGAGTTTCGTTGGGCGTTGCCAGATGGGGCCCCAGTTCAAAGTGCCGCAAAAAATCAGCCCAAGCCACTGGAGGGTTGGAAAAATTCCCATCGAAAGACTGAAGCACCCCCTAGCCAGAGCTGAAGCTCCCAGATTTCTAGCTGGTTTGGGTGGGGAGAAAAAAAATTTCAAACGAAATCGGGGCTTTTGATCGCAAAGCAACTTCAAACTTGAGGCAAAGTCCACAAAGCGCTGCGTGGCGTCAGGAATTTCTGCCTCCATGGAGGAGGATTTTGGGCTGCGCGCCCAGAGCTTGCGAACACTGTGCGGCGTGCAGCTGAGCGACACTGAGTTGGCGCAAAGCGCAGCAAAACCTAGCAAAATAGTTACCGCTTGGTCTCCGATAAACAGATCGAGTGGGCGCTCGCGCCCCAACGCGTCAGCCCGTGCGTGTTATGTTTGAGGGAAAGTGATTCGGAGTGAGTTGATGAGGAGGAGCTCGTGCGGGCGCTCTAACTTACCGGCCGCCGCTGCCGTAGCTACTGTATGGGTAGTGGGGGAGCCTTGCATGTTTTTTTGGTCGTCATCAGAGCTGGCCAGTTCGGTGGAGGAGCGCAGGGGCAGCCCGAGCGAGAGGCGGCGCGCCGCCGCCGACGTGGAGCCGCTGGCGGAGGGCGCGGCTGCGCCCCCCTCCTTGTCTTTGGCCCCGCCCCTGCCGCCGTACTTGTTCTTCAGGTAGCGGGCCCAGGAGCTGAGGGCGGCGCCGTCCTTCTCCGCCGCCCGATCTGGCGAGGTCTCCTTGAGGGCGTGCGTGGAGCGGCTGCGCGCCAAGTCGTGCGCCGATTGGGAGGCGGCGGTGGTGTAGCCGCGCGACGCCAGATAGGCGCTGGGGTTGGAGGTGGTGGGCGAAATCGGAGCCGACTCCTCCGGCTCCTCCTCGTCCCCGAACTGCTGGCTGCTGCGGCTCCTCGCCAGCCGCTGCCTGCGCTCCTTCAGCGCCATGTACCTGGAGCGCCCCGTCGGGTATTTGGGGTCCTCCTCCGTGGGGTATCTGGGCGGAGGGTCCTCCTCCTCTGCAGCNCCCGCCGTGTCTCCTCCGGCGTACTTCGATCTGCTTACCGGAGCCTCCTCGGCCTTGCCTGGGTCCCTAGCGTGGGCGCTGCGCGCCAGCAGCGCCCCGATATCGCTGCGCGCCATTTTCTCCTCGCTTTTCTTACTTGAGGGCTCGTCGGACTCCTCCTCCGACTCGGTCTCCTCCTCGGAGCTGGTCTCCGACTCGTCCTCCTTGGTGGGCGCGGGTTTGCTGAGGAATCGGCTCTGGAACTGTTTGGGGGGCGCCTCCGGCGCCGGCGGCGCCTCGCTCCTAGCCAGGAATTTCCTCTTCACCTCCTCGGTGGTGAATGGAGCTCCGGTGCTGCGCACCGCCGATGAGGAGCTGCTTTCCGCCGAGGAGCTGGAGTCGCTGCTGGCCGATCGGGCGGTTTTCTTGTGGCCTCCGTCGGAGGGCCTACGAGGGGCCGTAGGCGCCACTGGCTTTTTGGGCGGCTGGGCGGCCGCCTCCGAGTCCTCGCTGGACGGGGCCTACGAGGGGAAAAACATTCAGTCAAAGCCTACAGCCCAGAACGTCGGAGGTACATGCAGGGGCCACAACTGATGTGTTAAAATAGTCGCGAAAATCTCCAAAAAACCCGCAAAACTGGCATTTTTTGCTCGCACTCAAACGCGCAAACCCTCCTCTA